CCAACTCAATTGTAGCCGCCTTGGATTCCTCGACTCCCGTGACCAAACAGTACTTGACTCGAACTGTTGCGATGTTTCGCTGTAAACAGTGTTACTACTAGCTTCTTGTTACTACTAGTAAGGCACCTGTTACTACTAGCGTGGCACTTGTTACTACTAGCTTCTTGTTACTACTAGTAAGGCACCTGTTACTACTAGCGTGGTACTTGTTACTACTAGCTTCTTGTTACTACTAGTAAGGCACCTGTTACTACTAGCGTGGCACTTGTTACTACTAGCTTCTTGTTACTACTAGTAAGGCACCTGTTACTACTAGCGTGGCACTTGTTACTACTAGCTTCTTGTTACTAGTAAGGCACCTGTTACTACTAGCGTGGCACTTGTTACTACTAGCTTCTTGTTACTACTAGTAAGGCACCTGTTACTACTAGCGTGGCACTTGTTACTACTAGCTTCTTGTTACTACTAGTAAGGCACCTGTTACTACTAGCGTGGCACTTGTTACCACTAGCTTCTTGTTAACTGTGAACTTGAGATCCTATTTGACCCTTGAGATCAGCAGAGTCAGAGTTTCTCGCTTTCAGACACGTGGCGTCCGGCTCGCTCGGCTCGCTGTTGCGATGTTTCGCTGCGTCGATGAGTCCGACGTGCGGGCTCGCGTCGGAGCGTCGGAGCCGTGAGGCCGCTGTATCCGGGCAAAGGCCCCCAGGAGTCTGCGATCCTGTGCCTCACACGATTTCTCAGAGCGAGGCCAGCACCATGGAGATTCTATCTGGATGAGTGACATGGTCTGAAGCCGCACTGGCAACTTGAGCCACACTAATTTCGGATGATTCTTTCTACTAGGTAGAGTTTGAAAGTGGAAACATGCTGGCCTTTGCTTGTATGGGCAGCAGCATGTCCTTTAGCGGCCATCAGGAACCCCTTGAACACCGATATGTATGCGAGCACTGTGAAGGAGGAGCGCGAGGACATTCCGCCATCAGTTGATGGGACCTCCAAGTCGACTTCATGGGACAAGTGCTGCTCAAATGGTGGCAGAGACGGATTGCCCAATCAACGGTACAGCAACTAGTTGCACCCCGCTTCAAAAATTTCCACGAAGGGGTGTTGTCACCTCGCAAACCGAAGTGGTTGATGAAGTGATGAAGTGGAAGTTTTTTGCGATCCTTCCACAGTGCCAGAGGTCCCAGAGTCCGCCTTGGATGGCTTTGCCTGTTTTGCCATTGCAGGACTTCCACAAAGGTTGTGCTCTCCCATCGGTCCTTCGGCAAGATGAATACCGCCCTTCAGTCCTTCCAACGATCAGTATGCAGGTGTTGCAAGTGTTACCGGGCGAAGCATTGACCATTCAACCACTGAGCAAGAAGCAATCACGCAATCGAAGAAGTTGACCCTTGCACATTTTTTTTTAACCGCCGACCCGGGAGCAGAAAGGAGTTCAACAGTGCTGGATGGATTGCTGAGGTATTCACTGTTTAAAGATCAGGATTGAAATAAGTCAGCAGATGCTACCATTGGATCCAGAGGAAAAAGAGATTTCTTCGAACACTGCTGGGACACCCAACCACAGAGG